CCCCGCCCCGGGCAGCCCCGCTCCGCCGGAGCCCGGGGGCGAGGAGAAGTCCGGCCGGGCTTCCGCAGCCTCCTCCGGGCGGTGCCGCCTCCGGGCCCGGGGATCCGGGGACGCAGTCTTGGCCCCAGCCCGCCTCGCCGCAGCCCTGAGCCGCCTGCCCCAGTCCAGGACCGCTGGGGCTGCCCGTGCCCGGCCGCCGGCGGCGAAGTCCGTCACCTTCCGCCTGTCTTCCTTGACCAACTAAACTCTGCCTTCCACTCCCCGCCCTTTAACAGCAGAGCCTGAGGGCACCAGTGCTTCTCCTGGGCCCGTCTCCTCTGTCACCCATTGGACTCTTCTTCTTGCCTCAGGTCTCCATAGCCTTGCCACTGTTCCCAACCTTTTTTGTTTTTTGCAAAAATATTTATTGCTATATATATAAATAGCTTATATGTCAACTTTACATCCAACACTCTGCCAAGCCGCCCCTTTGGTTCACGTGGCAGATCAAAGCCCACTTTGACAGTTGACTCATTAAAAACCTGTTATACAGTTAACACTGCATATCCCCACCCACTGCCCTCCTCAGAGGGCCAGTCCCTAAAATAGTCTATGCCAGACCCCTCTCCACCATATAAAGTCTGCCATTTGTTTCCCATCGTTCTTATCTGTCCTCCTGTAGTAGCAGTACATTTCACTTAGTGCGGGTATCCCATCACTTCCTACTGGAGACTGAAAAAGTTGGGAATCTCTGCAACCTTTGTCACCTGAATAAAGACACCGTACACCAACGTGAGCAGCGGGGCTCTGGTGAACACCCAGGTCCCTGACAGCCCCGATTGTGATAGAATTGGGTGTTAGGCAGGGCTGCCCGCTCTCCCCACTCCTGTTTATGTGTGCAATGGAACCACTAGCACAGCGACTCAGGCAGGACCCCAGGATCAGCGGTGTGAAGATCCCCAGGAAGAATGAGGAAAAGATGAAAGTCGTCACGTACATGGATGACATGAACATCATATGCAGGGACAAACAAAGAGCACTACACACACCCAGGTATATGGAGCAGCAGCAGGGCCAAGCTCAATGTGAGCAAAAGCATCTGCTAGTCCTAGGTAAGCTTGGGGACCTGTTGCCCCTGGGGGTTTCCATCCCCTGGGATGGGGTAAAGATCCTTGGGGTGGAGTTTGACTCAGAGCTGAGGGGTCAGAGGGCATGGGAAAAGATGGAGGCCAAGGCCAGACAAAGACAAGCTATGGCCAATGCCGTAGCAATGACATTTGGCACCTGGGACAAAGCCCACAGCAGCAGCCTGCCGTCATGCCATGCACAGAGCTGGTGGGCACACCCTCCCCCCCATGCTTGCCTGGGTGTGCATGCAGTGGCAGGAGCTGCCCTTCCTCCATCCCTGTGTCCCCCTCAAACAAGCCACATGCAACTCCGTTCTGTGCCCCGTCCCGGCTGGGCAGCATCTGTTCACACCCCTTTGCTTCAGCACCTGGGGCAGTTGCTCCGCTCAACCCCCTGCTACAGCACTATGGCAATCGTGCTGCTTGGCAATGTGGGGGGGTGGAACTGATGAAGGCAGTGGTCTTGCCAATGCTGCTACACACCACCCTAGTCTTCCCCCCTCAGAACAAGTTGTGCGCAGAATCCAAAGAGCCATGTGTGGTTTTTTTTGGAACTCCACATGGGAGAAAGTGGCGAGGACCAAGCTGTACAAAGTGAAACACTCCAGAGGCAGAGGGATGCTAGATGTCCTTCTCTTCCTCTGGGCCAAGTACACAAGCCAGGTGTGCAAACTGGCAAGAGGGGTGGAATCTAAAACAGCCAGCTTTGTTAAGTATTTTGGTGGGCAGCTACTGCAACAGTGGTAAGTGCACACGACAACCAACAGGAGCCCATGGATCATGATTTCCTCATGGTTTTACGAGATCCTGAAGTGCTTTTACGAGAAATACAAGCTGCACAATGCAAACCTGGTGAACCACCACAAAATACGGGAGGTGGTAAGGGA